TTTTGGTAATGTGATTTTGGAATATCGACATCGTTCTTTCTGAGCCAGCATAGATAAGCAGGGTTGCCGAATCAAAATCGACCAAGGTCGTCAGTCCTTCCTACAATTATTTTAGAACGCCTTTATGATGGCCTCTTTGATTTTCATAGTTTGTTCTGTCCTTCAGAAAGGCTGGGGTATTTCTAGATAGATACTGTTTCGTGTCAGCGCTCTATTTTGATGTTATATTTTCTTTTTGAATTCTAAGAAATTTCAGGCTTGGTTTTTATCATCCGTTTTATCAGCCTGAAATTTCTAAAGATTGAAAAGAAAACAATCTCAGAATAGGAGAGCGCTGCCATTGACACGGAACAGTAGACATCTAAAATACCCCAGCCTTTCCGAATGAGAGAAAAGACTATTAAAGGCAAGAAGGCCATACAGGTGTCCTACAATTGTAGGATTTTTAGAATATCCGAAAAAGTAAAAAATAAATATTCCTGGGGTAATCACCATACAGAAGCCCCCTTCCTCCCTCATGTCAACAAAAATTAGCAAGGAAAGACCCGTCCCTCTTTAGTGCTGCTTATGTAATACTTGTATGCTATCTCCAGAGGCGTTTATTGGAATATCCAGAATAAATTTTCATATTAGAAAATTTAGCATAAATAATTAATAAGACTGGTTTTATTGCTGCGAGTTGTTCAAGGGAGTATTTAAAACATGTACCCATAAAAAGGGAACACCAATTTTTGTAGGAGAACTTTTTATTTGACAACAAAGAATAAGAAAACGTGTTTTTTTTTATTCCATCGAAAGTGTTGACAGGAACGAAAAAACTTTTCATATAAGATGTTTAAGTATTTATGAGACCTACAAAATGAGGTCACACGTAAAAAGATCCAACTAATAGCAAAAATGTTATGGCCGAAAAACGAGGCTAAATGCAGGTTTTGGCACTTAGTAATGCGACGATAATTTCAAGCAACTACTTCAAATTCTTCAAATCCGTAGAATTCATACTTCCGAATAACAACCACAAAATTGGATTATATTGGTCAAGTAGTTTTTTTGAGAATTTCCAATTGTTTATCCCAAAACACATGTTTTTCGGCCATCGCTACTAGTTTATTGAGCAATATACAGGGTTCATTCAAAGAGCATTTAATAGCAAAATACACGTGTGCATCTTGCCGATATGAATCACAAACCATTGGGAGATAAATGTTATTTTTATGCGAAAAACAAAGGTTCCTTTTTTTCTTTTCTTCTAAACAGATTCAAACATTTCGTATTTGTGAGTAATTAAACAAATGCGCTACGATATTCGAAAAACATACATTACTATACACATTTTAAAACAAAGTGGATGTGTCTATCTCATCTTTTGTTGTGAATTACTCACAAATACGAAATGCTTAAATTTGTTTAGAAGAAAAACCGTAGCCTTCCGGAATGGTTTACGATTCATATCGGCAAGGTAAACTAGTGTATTTTGCTATAAAATGCCCTCTGAACTAGCCCTGTATATTGCTCAATAAACTAGTAGTGATGGCCGGAAAACAGGTGTTTTGGGTTAAACAATTAGAGACTCTCAAAAACTACTTGACCAATCTACTCCAATTTTGTTGTGGTTATTTAGAAGTACGAATTTGAAGAATTTCAAGTACCTGCGTGAAACCATCGTCGCATTACCAACAAGTGCCAAAACTTGCAGTTCGCCTCGCTTTTGGGCCATAACTTTTTTGCTATTGGTCGGATCTTTTTAGGTGTGGTCTCATTTTGTAGGTCCCATAAATACCTAAAAACCTTATATAGGAGTTTTTTCGTTTCTGCTAACACTATCTGTTTTCTTCCAAAAAACACGTTTTCTCATTCCTTGTTGTCGAATAAAAAGTTTTCCTACTAAAATTGGTGTACCCATTTTATGCGTCCATGTTTAAAACTCCCTTGAACAATTTGCAGCAATAAAACTAGACTTTACAATTATTTCGCAAACCAGGGGTATTTTCTCCTAAAAAGATTAGGCTTATACTACAAGATTCGCCAATGCTTACCTCTCTTCCTCACTGGATGCATTGAAAAAAGCGAACATAAAGATTAAAATGATAATGCGCATTAGAAGTATTACAGCACTCGAGTCAACTTATCTACTCTTTCAAAATATAACATCTGAAATTTTGTATTCTGTTTACCTGTTTTCGAATATCATGCTTTCCTGTACAGCCTGGTGCACCCTTTCCAGTTCTTCAATGTGTGGCTTGTAAGCATAAACTCCTTGTTCGTATTCTTTAAGTCTGTGCAGTTGGTCTTCCAGTGTTCCATGAACTCCCATTCCTGAAAATAAATACAATCATGTAAAAATCATAGAAGATTGAATACAGGATTTGATCGGACAGGGCACAGTAAGCCGTCCATATGTACTGAAGTCAATTTTAATAATGATTTTTTTAAATAGACAATTTCTGGGTTGATCTCAAGGAAACACCTTTTTGGTGCATATTTATTTTCTAAAATCATCATTGAAACACGATGGAACGGTAAAAAATAAATTCTTACCAATAGCAGTAACAGCATCCAGTTGACGTTCAATCCATGGCCCCACAGCATTAGCTTTCTCAGCAAATTGACGTCTAAGAGTTTCGTTATCTATATTGCAGTAGTTAAGGAAACATTCATGGACATGAGTACAAACAAACAAACCCAAAATTGTTTTTCAAATCCGCAAACCATCCAATCTACTTCAGTATCAATTAGTGATTTGATTTGTCGCCTATCAATGAAAGAACAAGAGTTTCTGAGTTCTGAGAGTACTGAACTGTTTTTTGCGCCTGTCCACACAAGTTCAATACGTATCGTGGGAGCATTCAACCACTTATTTGTTTGCAGTATATCTGATATTTTCTGAGAGTCAGAAACTCCATGTTATCTTGAACTGATTGAATTTAATCATAAAATCTTCATTAAGCCATACGACCAAAACAGTAAAAGGATACTCTGTTGCTTTCTAAGTTCGGCCTGTAGAGTAGCATCTCTCTGGGGAACGAGAGTTCTAACTTCTCCCCATTTCCTTGTCAAATCCTGAAAATCATCATAGTTTTAGCATAGTTTATAATAGTTCATCGATACACTGACATTTTACCTCTAAATCACCACCAAAGCCTTCCTTATTTAGGGGCAAGAATTGAGAAAAAATATCTAAATTACTACTTGGAACATTAGGGCGATGATGATGAGTGAAGTGATGAGAATGATAGTGCAGTACTTGGTTAAAAAACTGGACTAAGGAATAATAAAGAACAAAGCAATTAAAATAAAAAAATTACGAATAAATAATCTAACTATACTATCTCCATTATCGCTAAGACTAGTAGTAGCATTGGCCTTTACATTATGGAGTATTTTCGATCTAGTGGAAGTTCCTAATGAAAACTATGATGATGATGTTTTATTGACAAGTATTTTCAAGCAACGATTCTTACGTGAGCTGTCAAAGTTGTGTAGGGGTTTTCCAAACCTCCAGGTACTTGGTGCTGCTTAACGATGGCTTCAACTTCTCTAACCAGTCCTACAATGCTTTGGTATTCTTTGTCTGCTTCTCCTAATGTTGCCTAGAAATTAAAAACCTAAATAAAGTAACTATGTTTTTCAGGCATGCTCGTTTTTCGAGGATTGAGGAAAGAAGAGAGGTGGTAGACTTGTGAACTACTCGTTTTCCTCAATAAACTACTATCTCTTGATTATACGCGTGCTGAACAACGCATCGAGGGTGTACTTCAGTCTGTTTTGAAAGTGGAGGGATAACTGAAAACTGATCCACTGAGAGATGATGCGCCGTGTTTATATCCATGTATGCATCGCCGTGCTGCGTTGCCAGGTTGCTGAGTAGTCAGTACTTTTATATGAGCCTGTCTGACTGACATTCCTGTTATATGTTCTTAGCCAACTTTTTTCTACGAGGGACTAACTTGTGCCGAATCCCTCATGAATTGACGACAGCGTTGCGTGAGTAGTGCAGAGTTAACCTACCATTTTACTTGTCTTGAAAATAGTCGATTCTAACTCACCTTGAAATGATTGTGTGCGTCGATCAGCCCCTGTATCTCCTCGACGGTATGTACGATGAAGATGTCCACCAGGTCCTCCCTGGTTCCGTCCAACCAGTTGTTGAATGGAGCTGCCCGTTTGGCGAACTCCAGATGGAGGATGTCGATCTTCTCCATGATGCGCTCGGCTTCGTCCAATGCCTGTCTCCTGCGCTGGGTCAGAGCACCCAGGGCGGTCCCATTGATCGCAGATTCGCTGGCAGCGTGCGTTCACGGTCGCGCTATCGTGGTACTCTAGAGTGCTGGAAGTGCAACAGATTATTAATCTGCATACTTACAACAGAAACACTTTTTGTAGACGTTTTTGCAGATACGAGGTCTGGTAATGAGACTAGCAACGTAGCCTTCGATCTGGCAACATTGGAGGCGCAGGGCTTGGAGGGGAGACAGGGGAACATGTGATATCAATTTTGAGAAATGGTGTGCTATGAGATTTTGTTTCAGACTCGGGCACAGTGCATCAGAAACTCTTGCTAAACTAAAGTAGGCTGACGGAGATAGTGTTTTGTCAAGTGCCCACGTTTTTCGGTGGTTGAAGGCATTTTCAAAGGGAGAGACCTTCATCTTCAAGAACCGATGAAAATATCGAGTCCGGGTACTTGTGTGCTCAGATCGTCGGTTGATAGTCAGAATGATTGGGGAAGAGTTAAATTTGACTTACACCACCGTTCATCATATCAATAAAGGAGTTTTTGGCCAGTGAAAACATTCCTGTGGCTCCTCCGCCTCCTTATTCACTCCCGATTGAAAAAACCATTTAGGACAGTCGAAATCATTTAAATGGCTGTAACTGACTATCTGACTATCTGAAGGCAATTCCAGAATCCGAGATTCAGAACTGTTATGAGGAGTGGAAGAACCGTCTGCAGTGCTGTGTGACTACAGACGATGTTATTTTGAGGGGAGCAACATGAAACTGTAATTATATCTGCATAAGAAAATTAAACAAAGACAGAGTCATTACTTAATTTACATGACCTCGTATTAATCATTCTTAAGGGGAAATCACAGGACCCTGGTGTATTTCCAATGCAAATACATGGGCGGGTGGGGGCGGTTATAGAGAGAGGCAACATTTGTGAAAGTGTATCAGTATCAAAAATTTTTCCAGAGCGATGGCAGCAACATTTCTCATGGGAAGACGGACCAAATCATAGAAATCTGCAGTGCTTTTAATAAGCAAATTTCAAGGGCCAGTCAGATTCACAGGAAAGATCGCGAGTCTCCTTGGTCCCCTACAGGCGTCAATGTGCACATAAGACCGCAGATTTTACATAACATTTTTGGGACAATTATAATAAAAATTATAATTATGCATCGAAGAGAATTAACCAAATCTGTATAATAACTAGTTTCTCTAGAGGTTTTCTCTGAATTTGCAAAACTGGCGGTTAGCAGATTCCTGCTTCCTGATTTACAACCTTATTTTGGTATCAGTTGTATAAACAAGGAAAACATCAAAACAGCCCTCTCCACTATTTCTCCTTTGCTGTTTATCTTTTATACAGTTATGACTGTAAAAAATTTAGTATATCTTTCTAGAAATGGGACAATTGTTGGGCATATAGTACATAGAGCCCATGTTTTTACGTTTTGTTTCTTTTAAAACTGATCGTGATGAAATCGATACGTCGGCTCGTTCTTGAATATACATATCACGCGAATTCTAACTTTTCAACCACAAAATCCCAAGAAGGGGAAAATACGGACGTGTATATCCCAAAATAAAGTTGCCGTGAATGCTCATAGGGTTTGGATCTCCACAACCAATAATGCTGATTTTTTTCTAAAAATGTTTTTCTAAACCGACGCAGCCACGCAGGCAGAAACCTAAATGCCAGGGCGCCGCGGCTGCTATGAGAAGCTTAATAAAGTTTGTTAATACTTTTGAACTGCCTAGGGTTAGTAGAACTAGGGAAAGCCTCCTCATGTAGATTGTTCCACAATCTCGAAACCCTAGGTCGTATCGGCCAGTTCTGAATGTACGAAGTTCGACACGGTTAGGAGGGGAGGCTGAAGTCAGGTGGGTCTGTCTGACAGGCAAATATCGCGGCAGAATCATGGAGGAGAGCTCTGAGGAGCAAAGCTCATTGGCGTAGCGGTAAAATAGAGCTAAATCGCCGCCGCCAGTGCGAAAGGGTCCCAAGACTGTCCGTTTTTAAAAAGTCATCGATCACTCGGACAGCCGTCCTCTGAACAGCATCAAGCATGGATAAGGCAGTCGGAGGGGCAGCACCCCAAACATCTGAGCACTACTCAAGGTTCGGTTTTATCTGGGCCTTGTACAGTCATGTGGAGAAAAGTAAAGTAAAAGCCCAGCTTCTTCCCAGCAGCTGCCGTTATTGACAAGTTGTGTTCGTGCCATGTCAAATCCTCGGAGAGCTGGCCGAAATGAACAACCATTCATCAAAACGGATGAGCGCTAGGACGCATCTTGTTCATCAAGATACACTGTCTTTTGGTAGCATTAACCTGTACTTGGACCTCAGTAGTGTTTGTCTGCTCTATCTGTAAGAGCTTACCAAAACGGCAATTTTCATAGAAGCTGTGGCTACACGGATAAGCTCAAGCTCAATTATAGGTCACATCTAGATGTCATTCATATTTCATACTGGGTTTGACCGACTATTTGTTATCCAAAGCCATTTTTTTATTTTTGTAGTATACATGTCTAGCATCCGTGAGTTATCACGTATTTGGGGTCTAATACATAGCTACAAATATTTCTATATGAACAGATCTTATTAACGTCAAAAATCAAAAAAAGAAACACTTGAAAATCTACATGTCATAACTTAACAAGCCCCCTAATCATTCGCATTCACGCAGAGCGCGTTGGCAATTTTTCACGAGAATTGGAACAGCCAAACAACTGGAGTTTTTATAAAATAGATTGGCGCATATGCGTGGTCGACGGTAGGATACATAAACACTAATCAAAAATAACTCCACTTCAATTCTTGCGCAATGGCGGCGATCTGCTCGACTCTGTCCTGGTGGGCGGCAATCCGATTCGAACGCTTCGTGCTCTTCTTCAAAGCCTTCAGTTCGGTCAAACGGCACTGCCTGAAGTCCTGGCTTTGGAGCATCTCCTCTTTGCCTCTGGTCCATTTCTTCGTGAGCGTCCGCCTGTAATGTAACCAACGGATAACCTCTATTGGAAACGGAACGGAGAGAATACTGCATTCTCAGATAAATACATTCCTATTCGATATCGGGTATCGCCTATAAATACTGAAAAAACAGAAAATTAAATATGATGATAACTACATTGCCTATAGAATGTAAAATGGAGTGATGATGAATCAGTTGCAATATTTTCAAAAAATTGGAAGGTAAATTGCAAACTAACAAGAAAAGTTTAGATCTCAATACTGAAGAGGTATCTTACTTAATGTAGATCCGCACTTAAGCTAGTTAAAAACAATCTAGTAAGCTGGAGGTTAATGAGAACTGGTCAATATTTTTAGGTAATGAAATGGGATGGAGTGTACCTAATTAACAGCAATACCTACTTTGTGCTTGAATTTCTGAGCCAGAGCTCCAAACGTTCCAGACGCATCATTTCTGAGAGAAGCCATTCTTCGAACGCCTTTTCTGCATGTTCCAGGCCTTTCCATGCATTCGCAATATCCTGTAAAATAAATGTGTAACAAATTTCTATGAAAAATCTGTCAGATCACATGTACCTGGCATCTATCTACTTTGTCACAGAGTTACTTATTTTACATGTTTTCTCACAAAAAATTGAGTATGAAAACTATTACAAATATATATTCAACCGAACTTCTGTACTTAGAAACAGAAATTCTCATTATTCAAAAACTATATCTCGGAAGAATCATCTTAGATCAAAACAAAAATATCATATCCTACAAAAATTATCATTACAATACTAGGAACAGAAATTATCAAATGAACATAAGTACACCTAAAAACGATATTATGTTGAAATCTTTCATTTATCAAGCTCCATTAAAACATAGCAAACCTCGGAACGAAATTAAAAAATGTCAAAAGGATACATTCACAAAGACATTGAAACCATGGTTGCACAAAATGCCTAATAATGAACTCGTAAAATACATATATTTAATTTAAAACAAACCAGATTAAAAAATTATATAAAACACGAAAATTATAAACACCGCATACCCTTTGAAAAATTGTTATGTAGGAGGTCTGTAAATTAAGTTATGAGATCGGCAACGTAGCGTTCCATATCGCAAACACTGGAGGCGCCGGGCTTGGGGGGACACAGGGGAACATGTGATCCGCCTTCAGCACAAGTTTGAACTCGTCCGAATCATCGGGTTCTCCGTAGCGATTTTTTTGTGAAACAGTTTTATGTTCTAAAAGTGAGTGATAAAAATTTCAAGCATCGGTGTGCTATCCGGGTTTTGCTTCAGGCTTGGTCACATTGCCGTGAAACTCTTGCTAAACAAGTCTACGGAAATAAGTGTTTTGTCAAGAGTCCAGGTTTTTCGGTGGTTTAAGACATTTTCAGACGGGAGAGAGGCGACTGAACGGAAGGCCTCCATCTTCAAGAACCGATGACAGATAGAAGCTGGGACCTTTGTGCGTTCAGATCGTCGGTGAAAAAATCACCTCAAGGGAACTCATTTTGGGACAGTCGAAAACATTCAAACGGCGGTAGCCTACCAGCTTAGATATCGTCGTTTTGTAGATGGTAATTTATTCACATTCAACTGTAATGTTAAGTTTTTAAAACAGTTTAGGAAAAATAAATCCAAAATGCTTCATAGAATATCGACACTTGTATAATAATACTTGACAAAGACGTCTGGTAATTTTTAACTAGGCACTTCAAGACATCATAAATCTTGAATCATAATAAATCCCATTGAAGCCATTAATGCAAGATGTGATATGTAACCAGGATTTGCGATAGTTTCAGGAAAATCCATAAGTGGCACTTACCGAAACCATCTTTCCTTCGTGGGCATGTAGCGGGCCTGTTGGACAGCCTAAGTTGGTTTGCAAGGTGTTGAAATTGGTCTCCAATTTGGCCTTCTGTTCGACGCGTGGGGGCTTGTGCTTTCTGCGGTACGTGCGGTACTCTTCCAACTTCTTTTGGACGCCTGCTAATGAATTGTCGGTTTGACGAGATGCCAACCATGGCATCGTGCGACGGATCCATTCCAGAAGCTTGAAAAAAGTATGTGTTTAAAAAAATCCTCAATCTACTTCAATTCATTATGATAACTTTTCTTATTTTTTGCCAATCTTGCAATTGGTGACTACAACGTCCTAAAGATGACTCCGTACGAATGACTAGCGTATAAAACGACCCATTTTAAGTGGCTTAAGAAACGGCAATGAAGATCTGCTAGCAGATAATTCACCTTGACACATAACAACAATAGCAAGAACTTTTACTTTTATTGAAGGTTTCAATCGGGAACACATGTAAAATTGTTAAATTTATGCTGGTTTTCAGCCTGTCCACTGGGCATCGTCCTTCTATAGTATATAATGACCAATATGCGGATTTACCCTAATAATAGGAAAACATATAAATATAGATATACTTACATCGCTAGCTAGACGTTCATATTCTTCCATTAACCTTTCATTTTCTTGGTTAACTTTGAGTACTTTGCAGATTCTGTTTGCTGCTGTTTCAGCCTAAAAATGAGATTACACTTAATATCATAAAAAATGTCTTTATTGCTGATCCGCATCGAGTAACTTTAATTTTCCAGCATTATTATGATGTGCAAAGCGACATGATAGCTGCTTGGCTGATAAGCCATAAAATTTTCCATGGAACGTCAACAGCTCCCTACACCTAAAAAATCGTTTTTTGCCTACAATAGTTCAACTTTGAACGCAATATTATTCTAAGAAAATTGGTGAATCTACTACATGGACTTCCAAAACAGTGCTTAAATAAGCAGCTTGAATGCCTATAGATATGTTAATCGTTAATTTGATTGTTCCTAATTAACCTATTTTCAGTATACAGGGAGTTCTTGAAGCAAACACATACACTAAGGGTTCGATATAACCGGTTATTAGTTTCCAAGAAATATCTGCAATATCAAATCCGGACCTGCACCAGAAAAGGATCAAGTGAAACAATAGTAGTGCGACAGCAATTATAAAAATTACATCCAACGAGATGGAGAGTAGAGTACGATTTTCTACCACAAAATTACAGACGAGAGAAGTGTTTGTTATAAAAATGAAATTCGATGTTTTTAAGAACGGCTATAAAATTATTATCCTAAATAAGAAAAAAACGTTCTAATAATTACTTATTCAGATGTAGTTAATTTTTAGTCGTCCATAAAATAAACTGTAACAACGTAGTTGTTTCTGAGAAGGAAGCCCCAGCTTTCAAAACACCCTGTATACATGTACACACTACATAAAGTGAAATTCTGCCCTGAATTAGGTGACATCCAGATTTTGCATACGTTTACTCTAGTTACTTTAAATGGTAAAGCACTGTTTTGTCCAATAAATGATATAGTGAAAGGATAAGTAATAAAAACAAGGGTTAGGATAACATCATTTTGTGTTCATTGAATTCATTAAGGCATGTTAAGCAATGGAGCAAATTGCATGTGTCACTTGAGTGAGATATTTTTTCTGATACTTCCACTGTTTTTTCGTTAGAGTGACTGTGGCTCTATCAAATGAATTAACAATTTAACGAAATTCCGCCGTGAACTTAAAAACTTTTTAATATGTAAACCATATTTGTACCTTATTGAGTTCTACAATTCACCTACTTAAGATCCACTTATATAATAATATACAGCTTAGTTTTAAGTTAGGCTTTGTCATTAAGAGTGATTGTACTCTTCAGACAATAAATCATATTTATCTATCTCTTCTAATTTCTACAAAGTTATTTTCATAAAAGTTAAAGTGGAATCAAAAGCAAATAAAATCACCTTCTGTGCACCAGAGAACCGATGGTAGTAGGAGGACCCATATGTCATGACTGCTCTTTCGTCTGGCATTGCTGTGTTCTGTAAGTCTGCATGCAAACATATCGGATTAAAACAACAAACATTAATCATGGAAATTGGGTCGAATCAAAAATCACACTTTTAAATTGGCAGGTGTTATTAGGAAAAAAAGTGTGGCGGCAAAAACATATGTTAAAAACAGCAAAAAAGGCAAAAAAATCTCGGGTAAGTCGCAAACAGCACTGCCTTGTACCTGCTGAGCACCCTGGAAGGCGTGATAGTAGCAGGACACGTACGTCATGATGGCACGCTCATCAGGCTTGGGAGTGTGATTAAATCTGCAAATCGTTCAAGTTTATCATTGGCAATGTTGCGAAATACAGCTTACAGGGTTTGTCGGGAAAGTAATAGGACTCATTTTCTTCCCCCATGACTGTACTTCGGAGCGCACCGACTGGATACGGTAGAGGGCTAGCTAACGAATGAGCGGCTGGTCAGTTGTCTCCGAGCACTTGGAGAGCCAGGGACAGGCATTTTCGCGCGACGTGTTTTTGTGAGTGGTGCAAGCCGAGATGCAGCGTTCGTTAGAGCAGAGGTACGCGATTAAATTCTGTGTAAACCTGCGGTAGAGACGTTTGATATTATCAAGCAGGATTACCCAGGTGTTGCTTTAGCAAGAAGTTGTGTGTTTCGGTGGCACCAGGCCTTTTTGGAGGGCCGGGAAGAGGTCGCTGATGAAGACCGTGCAGGAAGACCTTCGACTTCGACAAACACCGATAATGTGACTCGTGTGCGCAAGGTTTGAACTCAGACCGTCGACTACGTATTCGTTAATTGCCCAGATGTTAAATTTACCAAAATTTGTGGTTCATGACATGTGACACAGCATTTGAACATGCGCAAGGTGTGCGCGAAGATGGTCCCAAAAGTGCTCACTGACGACCAGAAATTGCGGAGAGTGGAAGTGTGCCAAGAAAATTTGAACATGTGTGAAAGTGACCCCCAATTTTGAATAACTAATCACAGGTGACGAGTCGTGGATGTTTGAGTATGATCCCGAGACAAAGAGGCAATCTTCCGAGTGGCACACGACGGCGTCTCCTCGCCCAAAAAAGGGAAGAATGAGCAAATCCAAAGTGAAAACGATGCTCATTGTCTTTTTTGACATCAAAGGCATCGTCCACCATGAATTTGTTCCTCCTGGACAAACCGTCAACGTGAGAAGTGCTCAGCTACCTGACCAAGGCCGGCATCCCAACGCTTCCGCAGCCACCCTACAGCCCAGATGTGGCCCCCCAGACTTTTTTTGTTTCTTCGCCTGAAAATGCCGATGAAAGGCAAGCATTTTGAGACGACAGAGGGATCTAAGCAGCATGCACCGCGGCTCTCAAGGCTATTCCGGAGAATGCCTTCCGTGATGCCTTTCAATGCTTGGAAATCGCGCTGGCAGCGCTGCATCGACGCAAAAGGAGCCTATTTTGAAAGTTTTTAAAGAATTATAACGATTGGCTCAATATCTTTTTTTAAATCTACTCAGTCCTATTACTTTCCGGACAAACCCTGTATATTCAAAATCTTGTTAACCCATAAGTCCCAGCAAAAAAGTTACATAATTGCTGAAGAACTTTATGCAGCCATCTCCTTTCTGCTAATAGGTGGATCTTTTTGAATGTGCTATTTATTATTTTTCAATAATATTGGATTAAACAGGCAAACGATGAAAATAACGTTTTTTACTGAAAATAACTTATTCTTATGTTTTTGGGGGTGCTGAAAACTAAATATGATACTAAAACACCCGTATCACCCACCGTTTCTTCACTTTTAAATATTTCATAGTTAAATTTAGTAAACTAAGCGATTTTTAAAGAACTGGACAGATGTTATATCGTAAAAGAATTGAAAAACTAAGTCTAAATGGATGCAGAATAGGTTGGTAGCACCGCTGAAACACATTCTCTAAAATGGTTGATTCACAGGGGTTTTTCCAGTATGGTCAAAAAATATGTTCAGAACTAAACGCGTATACGCATTTAAAAATAAACCCTACGTCTGAACGAATTGTTTTAAAATGCGCATGCGCGTACACTTCGGAACATATTCCTTAGGCGTGCTGAAGCAAGAATAATTTTTCTGTTGACAGCTGATATTTTGTGTACTGTCAACTTAATCTCACTTTCACAGTAGGGCTGGCGAACAATATTGGTGCAGAAAATACTGGTCTCTGAGGAAGTCTTTCAAATCTGGTGAGGAGAACATTCTACGCAAAAATCTTTTAGATCCAAAAAACGTGCTCGTACCACCTCTACATATACAGTTAGGACTAATGAAACAGTTGTAAGGCTCTACCCAAAGATGGACCATGTTTCAAGCATCTCTGCCAAAAGTTCTCACATCTTTCATAAACCAAAACTGAAAGAAGGACCTGACATTAGAAAAATGATGTTTGACGTTAACTTTGAATCCACAATGACCTTAAATGAGAAAGAACATGGGTATCTTTAAGGAAGTCGTTACAAAGTTCTTGGGAAATAAAAAAGACACAGAATATGTTACTATTGTAGCTAATTATGTTGGATGGCCCTGAAAGTTCACTTTTTGAACAGTCACCTTGATTACTTTCCGAACAAATGGGAGATGTTAGTGAGGAGCAAGGTGAGCGTTTTCACCAGGACATTTAAATTTATGGAAAAATGCTACCAGGGCCGTTGGAATACCAGCACGATCTGGGACTACTGTTGGTTCACTTCACAGCAAGCAACTTATCGAAAAGAAAGTATAAGCCATTTACAGCTGACAACTAAACCAGTATTATATCACTTTAAGTACCCTACTGTAAATACAAACCATGTTAATTCAATGTAACATAGCGTTCATTAATTCCACCATAACCGTATACGGATTTTATACTATATAATGAAAGGCAAAATTGCTCAAAAACTATGGGTGATACAAAAAAACTAAGGCTCACACTACAGCTCACAAAAACCTACAAAACCCAGCTGTCAAAGTAAAAAAGTTTTCAAAAAACATTTTTGATGTTGGCCTGTGTTATTATTTACTATAACTATTAAAATTTTAACACATTTAGTTCCAGTTTTCTTTGTCTAATTTAGTGTTTCATTATTCTGATTACCTTTTTGCAAAACAAATTAGTGCTGAACTCTAATGAATAAAATATTAAGAAGGACTAAGTATGAAGATTCATCCGTAGGTTTCAGTTTCAAAAACATATCGGTGTTATGAATAGAGATACAAATACCACGTTTTTGTTTATGACTTTTTTCAAGGGCATCATGACTACGGATTTCAGATTGTATGTATGCTCAATTTGAAATATAGTATTGTGGGAATAACTGATCATATCTCAGTTACTAATATGAAATGCTGTAATCTAACCCATGAGAAAATAAATATTCAACAACGAGAACATACAATTTTTTAGCTATGATGGTCAATTCTCCTTCTAAGTGTGTATACACATACTGCATAGCATTTTCAAATCAGTCACGCTCCTGTGTAACCAGCCTATCCTGTATTCGTCATACAATAATTAAAAATTTAATGTCAGACATTAAGCAACTTCCTTTGTAATAGGAAACTACATAAACTCATTTACGGGATCTCCTATTCAAATAGGCAATGGTGAGAAAAAACTGTTTATAGAAATTATCGAACTTCTAGTACTGTTACATAACCAGATGCTAATTTGTCTGTATCCACTCAACTGAGCTAAACGATTTGTCTCTCGGAGAGTGACAAACAAAAATTCTATCTTCAAGCTATAATACGTTGAAAGAGTTTTCGTTCAAGATTAAGATTAGGATGTCAAAGCTCTGAACTTCGAAAAATGTCTCTGGAAAATAAATGTAAGGAATAGACTGGACAGTTAAGTGTATGATGTTTTTACGTGACTGCGTGACTACAATTTCACGCAGATATTTTTTTCTCGGAAATGACTTGTTTTTTAAAAAATTTAAAATCATAAGTTGTTTCATTCACACTGATTCATGGAAACAGTTATTATAAAAAAATATACAAAAACGCCTATTGGGAACTCATCAATTTTTTCATTATGAGTGAGTGAGTGCTGTAAATCATAATAATGCATTATAATGCCTACTCTTCATACATATTCAAATAACTCTCATCAAAAAGTTTAGTAAATATATTCTTCCCAAATCTGAAAATTAGAATTTCTGATATATCAACAAGACCCGCGCAATTCGGAACATGGAAATACCACAGGAAACGTAGAACCATTTTTGTAATAATTTTCATCATTTAAAATACTCCTCTTTTATACACCTTGTTATTCATATTTCCATACAGAGTTACTAATGGAATCAAAAATCAGAATTAGGAACTGCAAAACTTTGACACTGACTTACCGTCCCGGATCTAACATCCTCGGAATGTCGAGGTATTTCTCAGCAACATCAAAGGCAGTATTGAGGTTCTCCAGCGGTTGTCTTTGGAGAGTTTGTTATAGTCGAATGAGGTCTGGCCTGTGTCTGTGAATGAGGGGCGCAGAAAGCCAAACCATCTTTGAAGACAGGTGGAAGTTCTGTACGTTTACGTTCTTGTAGGGGGCTGTTTTACGTTGACACCTGGAAGCAAAAACCAATCGATCAACAAAATCCACTTTTCTGACACACTTGATATACTATAGAATTCTCTTTATGAATGTACAAATTAACACGTAATGCAGATATTTTCCATAAGATTCAAAATACACTAGTAGCAGCCGAAACGGTTGTTTTATTGTTGGACAGATTAAAGAAACAGATCAGAGGAACATGCGTAGGATAATTCAGAAGTTACATTACTAATATTTAAATTATCTGTAGTGTTGTACTTTGAGATCCTTAAGTTTAGTTTTGGTGCTATTGGATGTAATGGCCACACACACAGGTTATCTTTTACTGGCTAGTCCTTCCTTTGACATACCATATTCTGTGAGTACAATCCATACTTCACTTATATATATATATATACGAGTATATGGAAATTTCACTCAAATTCAAATAAATCATTTAAATTTAAGATTAAAAGATTAAAAGAAAAAGCGCCGAGACACGTCAAAATATTTGTTAAGGGGACAACTTTAACAAAAAACTACTTCACCTATCCTGGGCGAACTGTATTTATTGTTATACCTGTTTAGTTATTTTTTGCTTAACGAAAGAAAAAATTTAATTTGCTGTCAGTTACCTTTGTGACAATTAATTTATTTATTCAGATTTTACTTCCAAAATGATTTATACACTAGCCGAAAGATGGAAATTTACGGTGTCCAAAATCAATGTGCTCGGCAAACTGCCGTCACGTTGCTGGACCTTGCTACTAAATTTACTTAAACTGGATCTGTTGGAAATAAAAAACCTGATCATCGGAGAGTTTTGAATAAAGCAGCTCAAGTTGAGGTTTTGGGCCATTCTTGAATAAATCTTAATACTTCATTACGCAAATTTTTGCTGCGACTGGTATTTCATTAGGCTCTGTAAAGTAACTAAACTTCATCCATTCAAAATGAAAATATGGCAAGAGTTTTTTGAACAAATGACTAGAACGATTAATGATAATACCATTCATGTAAAGAATATCTGTTTTAGTGATGAATGCACATTGGTATTGGAGCAATGAAAATCCTAATGCTTTTGTAGAAGGGCATACCCAGTACCCCCAAAATATCAATGTATGGGCAGGCATTTTAGGAAACAAAGTGATTGGGCCATTGTTTATTAATGTTTGAATGGAGATATTTATTTGGATATGTTGGAAAGTATCATCAATCCGTTTATTACTGAAACCATTGCAAACCAAATCGAAGAGGATGGAAACCCTATACTTGATGAGGCTGAAATATATTTCCAGCAAGGCGGCGCTCCTCCTCACTATGTTTTTCCGGTTCGGCAATGGCTAGGCGACGAGTTTCCAGATAAATGGATAGGGCGAAGAGGGCCTATAGAATGGACTGCTAGATCTCCTGATTTGACGCCATTAGACTTTTTTCTGTGGAGTCTTTTGAAATCTTTGTGTTTACTACCCAACCTGAACGTTTGGACGAACTTCGTCCACGCATCATCAAAAGCTGCCATGATATCCCACAACATGTTTTGAAAATGTCCGTCAGGAAATTCGAACATCGCCTATATCATTGTTTGGCCAATAACGAGCAAAATTTTGAACACTTATTGAAATAAAAAGTTATATTTTCGTGTGTTTTGTTTTCTATCTGAATAAATCAAGACAAATAAATGAAGGGGTAAGAACCAAAAGGGTCTAAGTGACAATTAAAAATTAAAAATCAGTTAAGTACAGATATCGATAGTTAACACTAAAAATTATTTATTGGCAAAACGATCCAAATCATTTTTAAACATGTTTGCGCCATCTATTGAGCTGTAAAAAACTAGGTTAACAGATGTGCTGTTTTAAGTAGTGGCAAAATGATCCAAGCGTACTTAGACCATATTCCACCATATACATTTGAAGTGTTTTCATTACTTAGACCGTTTATTGTTAGTGATCCACGTTGTTACTCGGAAGTTTAGTGTGGAAATTGAGACAAAAAGCAAAGTCGAATTGGAAATCCATCAAAGAAAGGTGGAAAGTGTTAAAAATGCCAAGAAATTAGGCATAGAACATGGAATACAAAATCCAGAAAAAGTTCGTGTTGTATGTTTTGATCTACAGAAAACGCTTCCAACTCCGCTACTTTCAACAAATAAAGTCTACTATCTACGTCAATTATGGACGTATACTTCTGTGTAACATGATCTTATTGGTGGAATATCCTTTATATATGTATGGAATGAGGACCATTGGTCAACCAGGATCCCAAGAAATTGGATCATGTCTTATTAAGGTAAAGCTACAACTTACGTAGTCATTGTTCAATATTTTTTTTGCAGTACATAAAAGACTTACCACCACCTGTCGAAGAACTGATTGCTACAGTGACCAATGTGGTGGCCAAAATAAGAATAAGACATTTCCAAATTGTTTATGTTTTTGGTTCAAAGTACTACTTTGAAAATAATACTCATACATTTTTTGAGTCAAGACATTCTATATGGAATGTGACCGTTCTTTTGACCGAATCGAGAAAGCAAAAAAGCTATGATTAACATTTTTATTTCTTGAACATTGGAAAGATTTAACAATAAAAACTTCCAAAAAATTTCAAGTATATACACAATATATATAAAATGACTTTCTGGACTTCAATTACCTTCATGGGCTTATGTGTGACCCAAAAAAGACATGAAAAAGCAACCATATAAAATGGCGAGAAATCGTGTGGTTAGAGGATAGACATGAAAACTTTTTATCCTTTTTGTTCGATACAACGAGGTATCCAAATATTCACCGTTCTTTCCATTCTGAAAAGTGTTCGTCACTTAAAGCAGGAAGACCAAGTTTATCTGTAGAAAACATAAGCCAACCCCTTTCCCAGCCGTCTTGAATATACATACGCTAAGTGGGAGAAACCTTATTCAGCTGTTGTCTTTTATTCCCCCAATACATCATGCCTTTTACCAAAACATGACTCATCAACCAAAAAGAAGAAAAATGCAAAACAAAGCAAGCTAACGACGGAAACTGAAATGAGTAAAATGTCCAAGAAAAAAATAATGATGATCTTGAACTCTGACTTTGAAGATTATTTTTATTTCTTGGTACTATTGGATTAAAGTTTTCTTATTAAAAAATATTTTCTAAAAAAAAATAGAACAAGGGGTCTAAGCGAGTTTTTTTTAATCAAACATTTAACAAAATTTGTGAAACGTAATAAAAAACTTAAATATATGGTACGCTCTTTTCCTCAAAAACCTCATACGAAATGTTTTTTAAAGATTTTAGAATAATCAATTAACTTTAACATTGAATATCTCCAAACAAACATAACGGCACTTGGATCTTTTTGGTTCTTACCCTTCAAATATTTTTCCAACTTTCTTGAAAACGAATCGACCGATTTTGAAAAACAAACGTCAAAATAAATGACTTCGAAAAGACCTTCCAAAAAGCTATCACTCTATAGCCCTTGCCATTCAAAATTTGCAAGGGATGACACTTGGAGGCGGAGGATGAAAAGGGTGTTTGTACTTTTGGTTAAAACAAATGTTTTGACGTGAGTGTTTTTTCTTTTAATCAGTGGTTTCGATAAATCCGTGGTGGGAAGTTTTCAAGTGAACACCCTGTATAAGTATTTTCTTTTACCCGCGCACAAGGGCCACCCTTCTGTGGCTCTTCATTTATTTGTCTTCTATAAGATTTTATGTGTTTTGGAGACAAATAAATGTTACTACTATTACTACTTACTATACAGTATAACCCTTACACTAGAGTGAAGGTAAAGTTAAACCACTGACAAGCCATATTTTATGAGTTTGGTGCAAAGTGTAAGCGAAAGATTTATTACGTATAAAAATAAAGAAGATGAATTTATTTAAATGTCAGTAGAACTTGTAGGAAACAATGAAAACTAAAGATGCGCTATTGATCGCACTATTTTGAATTGTTTCAATGAGTCGTACAGGTACACAAAATTCTTTGTATGCGGCTGGATGCACGTAGCTCAAGAAAAACTGATTAATGAAACGTGATCAATGGTCATATTTTTTCGTCTTATAAACCTAAAAAATTAAAAAAGCCACTTTAAAAAGTTCAAATCCAATAAGGAAGTTGGCTGTCCTAAAAAGCTCGACATACGTTCAAATAATGACTGGCAATCGAAAATGTACAATAATAAAGTTTGTGACGAAGATTTACAAGAATAGATATCAGATTCTCCTTTTGGTTTTCCCTGACAACTTGAACAGCTCCATACAATGACAAAAACCTTAACACTGCGATATGCAAGAGCGATCTATATGAAATAGGAGTCAGAATACAATGAATTAGAAATTCCAAACTACGTAAATACAAATGCAATTTGATCTCGATAAAAAATCGCGTGATTATGACTATCAGAATAGTGCTGATCTTTGTAATTCTATAACGTATATTATATTGTATTCATGCGTACTACTTGTTAAGAAGTAAACAGTGTAACAGAAGTACGACGAAAAGTAAGTTTATGCTAAATCTACATATCTAACAAAAGACTGAGTCGACGATGCATATATTCATGTTTCTACGAATATCCTGGTTTACTAGGAACTTGACTTAGAATAAAAGTGATATTCCGTTATATTTAGTTTTAACATAATATACGATCAGTTAAAAGATAGACGAAGAATGTTTATGTGATCTTTCTGTCAGATGTATTTTTGCGAATCTTTGGGAAAATCTCTAAATACCGTTATTTTAGAGATCACGAAGCCTCACGAAACGTCGTCGTGAAATTTAAATACCCATTTAGTGGAAATCGTAGAAGGTTATGTCATCTACTTAGATGCGTGCGCAACATTAATCTTGAAATAGAATCAGATAGTGACTTACCAAAGCAGTAGACCTTCTTTGGCCGTCATTTCTTCTACAGAAATGTCTTGAATGGCGAATCTTAAAATAATGGTCCAAATCATACCAAGTGTCATTTTTAAATTTCCATCTACGATTTCTGAAAAGACAATAAAACGGGGTCAAATAGGATTTTCTCAAAAACATTCAGGGTTCAAAATTAAGCATACATGAATCAAAAAAGGCTTTACAAGATCTATGGAGTATTTATGAGAATGGAGATTTCGCACTGTTGAAATTCATTACTAAAACGTTGATAGATACGAAGCTGAAGATGGGCAAAAACTTTAACATGCTTTCTTATTTTCCCACTCTTCAAATTGGTCATAATATGCGAATCATACGCATACAAAAGTTTGGGATTTCTCAAATTTTTCTATCGGGATTCTGTACCCCGAAATGTCCATCATACTTTAGGGATGCAAATACATACCGTATGTAACAAACGTAAGAGAAAAGCCCTGTACTTTTTCAGATATGATATTTTTGAAAATGTCGAAATCATATCATTAACTATAAGCAAGGAGTTCAATGGTAACCTAGGATTTAACTTTCACCCTCATCCAAAGGTCAAGTCGTACAGAACGTAAAAATGTCAATTGTCGGCATCAAAGAATTTAAAAAAGGGCTTTGAAATGACTTACAAGTTGGGTTTAAGGTTAAATCCAAGGTCACTATTGAAATCTTTGTTAAAAGTTACTACAGACATGTCTTTAATAGTTTCTTTTATGAATAATCGTCCTAAACTAGAATTTTCCCTAGCCTCAGCAATTTGAGCTTCAGAGGTCACCTTGATTTTAGATTTTACACACAGGTGGAATTTTTCAAAGCCTGTATCAAAAAGGAAGCTTTCCATTTAAAAATAAAGTTGACCATGAAATAACCTTGAAAGTACGGCTCAAGGTCAAATCTAAGGTCGCTATTAACTCCTTCAAAGTTAATAATGACCTGACCATGACCTTTTAGAAAAGTACCATACCTGAAAAAATAGTGGTTTCATTACTTTTGTACGGTTTAGCTTAGATACTCGAAGCTCAATCCTGGAGCCGCGCGTCGAGTCAACTGTACAGGGTGTTTATTGAAAACTTCTTACCACGGATTTATCGAATACACTGGTTATACACGTCCGAAGATTTGTCAAGGGGGACACCTTTTTAAACCAAAGACTACTTCACTCCCTTTCACCCTCGGCCCCTCAGGGTCGTTCCCTAAACGCCTATAGCTTGTTTGAAAGGTCTTTCGAAGGTCCTTCATTTTGACGTATAATTTTTTAAAATAGCTCGATTCGTTTCCAAGAAAATTAGAAAAATCTTTATTCATCCTAATTTGTTCAGTTAGAAAACAAAACACACGAAAATATAACTTTTTATTTCAATAAGTGTTCAAAATTTTGCTCGTTATTGGCCATATCACTTTTATTATCTCAAAATGTTCCCGGTAGGGTTGGCCAAATCTACAATTCGTTTATAATTTAAAACAGAAACTACCAACATAAACAGCAATTTGGAAGATTAGACGTGGCAACAACCAAACAACAACCCGAATTTTTTTCCGCATTCTTTTCATCAACTCAGATATCGTGGGCGAACTTTTTTTTTATATAATACTCCAGCTACCAGGAAGGCCTAAGGCCTAAACACTCATTGGGTACCGTGGGCTTATAGGGGGATACAGCGGAAAGGGGGACTCTGGCGAGGGAACACGTGTGCATGCAACATTCACACATTCTGGCTCCGCCTACGAGATCCGCCGGGTGGTACCTCCACGTTCGACAGTCAGAGACCGTCTACCACCTACGTATTCATTGTTATACCTGTTCAGTTATTCGTTGCTAAGGGGCAAGAGCTTATTATTTAATTTGCTGTCAGTTAGCTTTGCGACAACCTTTGTCAGTAAAACAAGTTTCCAGGGGATGTCCTTGGGAGTTAGGGTGAACTAGCTTTTGCGTAAAAAGTGGTCCCCCTTGACCAAATCTTTTGAGAGTGGACTCGGCGAAGGTTTTTCTTTTAATTCAGGGTTTTCGAATAAATACGTGTGGAAAGTTTTCAAATGAACACGGTATATTAGGCACGTTGGTGGTTCAGGACTTTTCTAAAAATTAACCGACCTTATAAGAAAAAAGTCGAGATCGGAGGAGTCCCAATAATGTTCCTCAAAGCACACGTTCAGTTATATTTATAGAAATTTAGTATTTTCTAACAATCAAGATCAAACTGTAGAACTATCAGGTTATGTGTTCCCTAGTGTCGTGTTATAAGTATCTCACCTTCTGCGCGTAGATACGAGCTTGACCCCTTTTGCTGGCGATGAAGTCTAGGCTTTGTAACGTTGGCTATCTTGTGAAATCCTCATCTTGCCTCTGTCTGGCTTTGGTAGCGTCTCACCCGATATTACCTCTAGCAACAGCATCAGTTTCAGGCCATTGCGGAAATCTTCTTCGATGTTGTCGATGCCTGTGCCAGCTTTTCTTAAGTGACTGTTGCACCAGGCAGTGAAAGTCTGGAAATGAAGTACATATGTTAGAGGAGATGTAGATGATAGACTGGGTAATTCAAAAGATACCCTAATAACTCCTAAGCAAACTATGTTCTTCAATAGTTTCTGGCCTAACTGCTTTATGTTGAGAACACAAGACAAAAAATTAAAAGAGGGTTAAGCACCTTTTGGAAGCCAACAATTTATATGCTACTTTCACTAGCGGTGAACCCAGGGATGCAAAAGCCGATATATAATCAATTTTTCTTACATTCTGTGATGGGTAAGCAAAAAAACAAGTAAAAACAAAACATGGTGGATAAAATACTGTTTGTTAATAAAACTATTATACTAATAAACTTTCTTCTATCAGATCCTCTAGTTTTGTGTAAAATTTTATGATTGCTGGATATAACTCAGTAATACGATATGAAAGTGCACGCTCTTATAATTTGCATTACAGGAATGCCAACCATCTAAAAGAGTGACACTAACGCGATGCTGAAAGGATCTTATTCACCGACACTCTAAACGGCTTGATGAAAGATTAAATCATTTTTCAGGTTTCTATAGAAAAATCCATACTGACTCCAGTAGTAGGGACAATTTTGGATAACTGAAGTTCTCTATATTCCCACGTGGTTATTGGATGTCATTGCGTTTGGTCAAGCATTATGGACCAATTATAAATGAGGAGTTCAACACGGCGACCATGATGTTGATCCACAACATCATCGAGTTCGTCGTCTTAACGTCCTGTCTGTAGCAACTGCCCTAACAGGGCATCGTGAGGCCATGTATTTAGCATCCGCTATATAGCATGACACATGTACTTCTTTGCTTATAAAAACCTGATTCAGGCAAAAAACGTTCAGCTTTGTTTGTTCAAAATGAAACTGTTTTTCAAAAATCATTCATGGTCAAAATATTCTTTGAAAAACTTTTAGCTCATGATCTAAATACAGCAGAAGGCTTAAAGCAAACAATGTGTATTCAGCTTTGAGAAAGTATAATCTTTGATATTTCAAGGTGTTACAGTCTTATAGTCTTATGATAAGATAGGTAGAGAATAAATATAGTAGAACCAGAAGTTATTACAACAGGTATGTGATGCATATATCTAACTGTTATATAAACCGAACACATTAAAATCGGCTCTAAAGAATGCTAAGCCTCGTGATCAATGGAGAACTCCCCAAAGGCTCCGCCAATGTATGGAGGCGCCCGCCATAGGCAACGCTCGAAAGAAACATAAGTGTATATTTTTAGTCAGATTGGTGCGACGTCAATCAATTCTATTATCGTAACTGGGACACTCCTGAAGATTACAGCCAGATAAAATCTGGATTCCCGAATGCCGATTCGCTACAGTTAGATCAATTCACTGGAACGTTGCTAATTAATTTTATTATCAAGTTCAGTGGTGTGAAAAGTGATAAATTTGATATAACATATTCCTAACGTGATGCCCGATGTCTCATGCTTATTGGCATATACGAGTATAGCAATACTATTTTCTCTTGTCCAGATCTTCAAATCTACCGCTACGTCTTCACCGTATTAGTTGCAAATGTCATCATAAAATATTTATCTAGTGCACTTGTTCAAAAATCTCTCCAAATTTGGTATAGAAAATTATTTTACTGATGTCCCTTTAGATAATTTGTTCACCCAGTTTCCTATAATAAAGTTGCCGCCGTTTCGGAAAAATTTATTTCCTTCTTCTGGGCTCCTGTTACTTCGAAACTGTGGTGGTCAAAAAATAATCCAGCGTTATGCACATCTTAGATATACAGGGTGACTTCGAAGTTGAGTCATTTATTTTAACAGTGAGTAGATCTGATCAAAAGAAATTTTTTTTCCTTTACCATTTTTCTGGTAAAATTAAAGTAACAAAGTTATAGCCCTTTGGAAGTTTGAGTACCGCCCTGCCTATTATATGCTCGTGTTTGGCGACAACGGATATAATCCGCCTGACCGGTTCATCGCATCGGAAACAAAAAAGCGAAAGAATTTGAAACGTTTATCACGATGTTTTTCGTCAGTCGATAAATCCTGAGTGAATAGTAGTGTGTTGCGTGGCTCAAACGAATCAAAAATGGCACATGTTTACAAAAATGCTGAACTTGTGGACATGATTCTTATTTACGGGGGGGCAGTCTTTACAAAATGCTCCCGGATGCATCACGGATTTATGCGAATCGGTTTCCCAATCGAGTGCAACCAACCCCTCGTGCCTTTGTCAATGTAGTGCAAAGGGCTCGTGAATCAGGTGACTTAAGACCTACAGGTGGGGCATGCTGCTCCAAGACCGCACGATCAAATACAGGTCCGCACTGAAATACTTGTCGGGAGGATACTTTATTAAACAAGGTAATTTTTTTTATTTTTTTTTTATTTTTACACACATATTTTGGTTTATCTTCCTTCTACAATCATTATCTGAAAATTAATGACTCAACTTCAAAGTCCACTTTATCTACCGGACTCAAAAATAACAAATTTTTGTTAGTCTCTTTCTGTTATTGTTTCCTACTCCGTTTTTTTCTGTTTTGATGTTTGTTTAGCAGCCTTATTCTGAAATCTAGTTGTAGGTTCTTCTATCCCAACTTTTTTGTGTATTTTCACCCGTAAGTCCATTCACTACTTTCCAGATATGTTTGCTCCTTCTTTGGATGGACTTGTGTTTCACTTTTTAATTAACGAAAATTCTTTACAAAGTTCTTGTTTTATTTGAGTTGATAATACTAAGAAAAAAATGTTCGGACATTATCTAGTTTTATCTAAAAAGTTGTTTACTTTTGTGAGGTTAAAAATTAATTTTTTTTATAATACTATGAAATATATTGTTTGCACGTCATATTAAGAAAATTGTTTTCAAGTAATATGATATTGAAATATAAAGTCAAACTAATATTGATAACGCCGCAACATTTTTCTGACACATAAACGTTCGGACATGATATTAAAATAAACATAATAGCAGGCCATAGAGACAAACAAAGTGTTTACAATTTGACGTCTTGATTTAAAAATCAATTCTGTGAATCAATTTGCTTTAAAATGTCGCGTGGTAAAGCAACAAACGATGCAACAATCATAAAATTGTTTCATCAAGGAAAGAGTTTTCGGGATATTGTTGAACAAATAAATGTCGCAATGTCTACGGTGCCAGATATTGTAAAAAAGTATGGAGACTCAGGTTCTATTCAAGTTTCAAAACACGGTGTTGGTAGGCCACGTAAGATCAGTCCTAGAATGCAAAGATCTCTTGTTCGTCTTTGTAAAGCTGGTCTTCGAGGTACTGTAAGGGCCATAACAGCAAATGGATTGAAGAAACAGCAGAAAATGTTTCATGAGAAACGTGCCGTCGGTGGATTCATAAGTCTGGTTTGTCAGGTACGTAGGTTGCATTTAAGTGCCATGATTATGCAGTAAAATCTTTGGTTTAGGGAAAAGAAAGGCTAATGTGGATTTACGAGGACTAGAAACATCATGTTTGTCGGTGAATCGAAATTTGATGTTTGTGTGGGTGACCACCAATCCCGTGTTATAAGAAACAAAAATAAAGCGTTTTATGAAGGCTGCCTAAAGAGAAAGGTAAAGCTTTCATCAGGTTTGATAGTATGGGGAAGCATATCTGCTTTTAGCGTTGGAAAAAATCACTTTATAGACGGAACTGTAAACGCAGCTAAATATCAAGATATCCGTTAAACCAATTTGCTATTGACAATTCCAATTTTATCATCTGATATAAACTTCATTTTTCAACAAGATGGGGCACCATGTCATGAGACCAAGACCACGGAAAAATGGTTGCAGGATGATATAATATTTCCGTCCTTGACTGGACTTCCAGGGTTACTGATTTAAATACACTAAGTGACATAAAATCCGAACACCCAGTTTAAATGGTTTTATTTTAATAACATTTTGTATAAGTACTTAATGAAGCATAATAAGTAAATGATAAAAATTTCAAACTGATTGCACTGCTTTAAAGCCCTTTGACCTTTAATAATGTGTGGATGCACCCTGATGTGCTACGCATTCTCCAACGCGCCTAGGCATGCTTCTGATCAGGTGGTCAATGTCCTCCTGTGGTACCTCACTCCAGGCAACCACCAACTCCTCTCGAAGTGCTTCTAGAGTCTGAGGAGGACGTTGCAAATTGAGCAATCTCCTACCCATCATATCCCACACGTGCTCAATTGGGGATAAGTCGGGAGATCTTGGTGGCCATGGTAACAATGTGACATCATTATGTTGAAAGAAGTCTATTGTGACTCTTGCAACATGTGGTCGGGCATTATCATGTTGGAAAGTTGGATCAGCCAGGGTGTCAAGATA